GGGGGGGAGGGTAGCTTACGTGCTACCTCATAATTTTGTAAGTAATTTTAGACAGGAAACAAAAATATTCTATGTGTGCATGTGTGCATGTGTGCATGTGTGAACGTCACAGCATTATGATGACATGTATTGCATATTTATTTCTTTGTCATTCTTAATTAAAGAGAGTGTAGATATTAACTTATTATAAATGAAAATGAAAATTACACATTTCATAATCTTTATTCTGTAGAAACACAAAACAAATTGTTTAGATGTGTTGATACTTGAATCGAATGCTAAAATTGTGTTTAAAAATAAAATACATCGACTAGATTTATTGCAAAATTCCTGTAAAATTCAACCTTGAAGAATCTTCATTTTAAGACGGAGCACAATGTATAAGCAGCTTGAATTGTAAAATTACATGAAACTGTTTATACAATTAAAAATAGATCAATGCAATGCTTAAGTAAAAGAGGTGGACATTACGTCAATACAACTGTTTATACATTATAGTTACTGTTTAAAATGTCAAAGTATCTTCGTGCATGTAAAAGTTAGTAAACTTATCATCAGGATAACTGCTAACCCAACATCAAAGCAACGATTAACATATTGTAAATTTTATATTTACGCAAACTTATGTAACTGTTTACACAATTCAAAAGTAATTGTTTGCACAATTCAAAAAGGTTGTTTACACAATTCAAAGTAACTGAACGCAATGAAGAAAAAACGAAAACCGATATGTGCAAAACCCGTAATTTGAACTCAAAATCGATAAAACTAGGGCAAAATATGAACAAAGAAACGCTTATCACTGGAAAAAGTTCAAAGAAAATAATGCTAGATGGTAGGATAGGGAAAGAATATTTTGCTTCACTGACGACACCCGCCATGTCAATTCAGGTCAAATCCGAGTAATTTCAAGTCCTCATAGCGAGAGCCAGGGTAGTGACAATGATACAACAAAGGCACGCTAATACGCATAGCATGTTAAGTCAACATATGAGCAATAATCATCATTTTGTCCATGGTATCTATCCTCTCTTGAGCGGTGATCAGCCGGACCCCAGCCCCGAGGGCGTCAACTTCAGCTGAGGGTCGACCCTCGAGGTCTTCCACATGAGCTGCTCCGAGTATTCTAATAGAGAAATAGAACGTTTCAATGGTCATATGATTATTTCTAGTGAATGTCAGTTCAGTTATAGTGCAAACAAAAATCCATATGGTTCGGTGATATTTGTAAATTTATGTACTTCCTTGTTATTCCAAGATAACTAGGTAATAACTTGCCTCCTTATTACCATTTATTATTGTTTTGTAAGAAACATATATAATTCCGTTAATCTCGTCAAAATAAATTTTAGTTTGAACAACCAAAACGGTACAATTACCATTACTTATTTATTGATACATTCAAGATCACCATATTTAGGTAAAATGCAAAAGAAGCGACGGTACGAAAATGGGTCGTTTTGGTATATCTTTGGTGCAAATGCTAAGGTATTTACACAATTGATACCATTCTTGTGGATTAGCCTATTTAAAATATGGTTCAATCATCTGAGCTGCCATAAAATGCGACGTGTTTAATACGACGTAACTTAACGTTATCCTTCACTCGGATGACGTATACCATGCACCTGTGATTCTTCAATGTTCGTGATATAAATATGGCATTCCATGGGAAAACATAAAAGGAATTATTTATGATGTATCCTTTAACTCCTTGATCCGCCCTAGATTGTTTTAGTGAAATCATATCATCACTCACCTGCGAATTATTTCACAACCTGCAAAGCCCGCCACTTCAGACATGAAATTCTTGTTGTAGCTATCCGTGTCACCTGAACAACTGGTCATGTTCTCACAGTACAACTTCCCTGGAAAAGAACATTTTTTTGTAAAATTATATATTATGTACTGCATATTTGTTAATAAAATATTGTTTAAACCAATACCCGGTTATATATTTAGATACTAATGACGACAGTAGATTTTGCAGAGATACATACCTGTGAGTTTGCAAAAGTCAATAGTACGGTAGGCAAACTGTCTGTTTCCTTCAGACATGTGTTGGTAGTAAGACATGATATAGTTGGCTATTAGAATTCCTACATCGAACGCTGCCGGACCCATAAAAGCAAACTCTATGTCCATTAACTGTTTAAAAATAATAACTGTTTGTTAAATTACAAGGTCACCATCAATTTATAAAATAATTTTGTCCAAATGACTTAACTTTTAACGAAGGAGTCATGATTGTCACTCTTAATTCATTTACCAGGTATACTCCCTAGTTCTAATATTTATGAAAGATATTTCTAATAGCGTTATATATATAGATCCAATTTGAGTTTGCATTGCTTAAAATTGTAACACTGCGCTTGCGTAAAAACTTGATGAACATGATACAGATATCGTTAATAACACTTCCTGCTTTTAACTGTCGTTCGAGATAAAGCTATTAACTGTCGTTCGAAATAAAGTTGATTTGCTACCAGTTCCATTATTACGGTAAACTCTGTGATACTATCAACACTTATTTGTTCATCCAGAATTGGACACTTTACATTAGTTTGGCGATATACCCTGAGGGATACGTATAAATGCTTCAGCAAGGAAGAAAGAAAAAGTAAATGGGACTTACAAATAAATTATGTTGGCAGTATATGAGCCATTTACTATACTGAAACCCACCTTCGCTGAATCGTTGCAAACCATTATGGAACCTGTATGAAGATCCCCATGGATCAAACATTCCTTCTTTTCCAGGAAGATCTTTTTCATTTTTGCTGCATTCGTTAGAACCTGTTGGTTGTCGTAGACAAGTTGGGCGTGGCTGCTGACCTCGGTGGAGCATTTGTTTGTGGGGTCATCCTTCGTAAAGGGTTTGGTAAACACGAATTGCTCAGTCAGCTGTACTAGTTCTGTGGGCCTGGAAATACAGTATGTAGTATAGTAATAGTGTGAACAGGTACCCAGAGTCAATGAGTAGCATCAGAGTATATGCCAGGATTCGGAAATCACGAATGACAAATAGCCAGAATATAACATTTACCCGAACTGTTTTAGTAGATCTGTCATGTCACTGCAGCTGAGTTTGGCGACGTGGTACTCCCTGTGTACGACGGCAATGTGTTTAGCAATACACTTCACCGCCTCGTCACTGCACACTCCTTTAATCATTTCCCGTCGTAAGTCTTTGTACGATCTTAGATCTTCCATACAGACTGGCAAAAACAATAACCGATATTGTATTGTGTTTATTACCGCGGTCTTAACACATTAAATAAAATATACAATACCTGTAACTATAGATAGTAGACTGTGATGTGCAAAATAAATACACTAGATACGACCCGCGAAAGTTGGTTGGACGTCGCAAATTTAAGGAGCTTAATTAAAACAGTACATAGATCTTGAGGTCACTTAATTACTATTTGCTGTGTTTAAAACTTAGTATAACTTTCTATAGGATTTATATACCATTTAGTATAACTTTCTATAGGATCTATATACCATTTAGTATAACTTTCTATAGCATTTATATACCATTTAGTATAACTGTCTATAGGATATATAAAACATTTAGTATAACCACGGGCTTAGATAATTCCGTGGTATAACTTGCTATAGGATTTTATAACATTTAGTATAACTTGCTATAGGATTTATATAACATCTAGTAGATTTATATAACATTTAGTATAACTTGCTATAGGATATATATAACATTTAGTATAACTTGCTATAGGATGTATATAAAACGTAAGTACACGTAACTTACTTAGCCTTGCGTCCATGTCATAGAAATAGGTATCTGGACAGCAGCCAGGGGATGCCGTGTTGAACTTAACCAGTGCCTGGTACTCAACTGTGCCCCTCTCCACTGTCAGGGGGTACTCTGGTCCCAAACACTGTAACATAGAGATAACAGCTTTTGTTCATACGTATACTTTTCACAACAATCCTAGCTTTAAAGGAAGTTTCTGTATGTACGATATAGTAGGTGGAATCCTTCTCGAGTGTTTTGCCTGCGGAGGGACAAGGATCTTTAAGTTATTACTGAGCTTTCGCCAAAGTGATGTGATAACACTTTCTGTTAATTTTCATTGCTATGACAGCCATATTTTCGGAGGGGGAATACAATTGGAATCATTTCTATGTGATCTCTATTCCCGAAAGAAGGCATAGGTTCACTAAAATAGGTCAAAGTTAGTTGTACTCCGAGATTCACTTTTAGTATAGGATGTGGAATTATAATTTTGGGGTATTTTATATACATTTTCTTTGTATATAAATAATGGACTGAAGAGCTTCATCACGATCCCTGGGCCAAGTTGTTCAAATGGGGGTTAGCTTAATCACTGTTTAACGACAATTTTCAACCTTTAATAATTTCGTCAATATACAAGGTAAAATCTCAATGTTTTGCATGTAAATTCTCGTAACTAAGTTGTTGATGTCTGGAAAGTTGTAACTAATTCAATGGTTGTGTTTTAAAGATACACAAAATTTGCGCTAATCACTGATTAAGCTAATCACCTTTTAAACACCTGGGCCCTCGAATCAGGTTCACAGTGAATTGGTGAGATGACATTTCAAACAAATGAAAGCGAATCTGAATGACAAGGTTCGACAGCACATACTTCGATTCAACTGCGATCTACAAGAACACTATTAGAAGAATTAGTATTCCTTTTATTTCCTCCAAAATGAAGATTACATAAACAGAATAGTTACATATAAGAATTAATTAACGTATATACATACATGGACATTGAAAGAGTACAAAGGTATCGTTATTTTAATGTGTACATAACTAACTATATACTCCTTTATTTCCTCCAGAATGAAGATTATAATGATAGAGCATCACAATACAATCATCAATTAAACATCAATTATCAAAATTATTATACATATATATTACAATAATTTTATGTTGTTAACATATTAGGGCATGTAATTTAAGCTAGCAGTATCAGGCTCTTTTGATTATTTGACAATAATCAGCATAGATATAGTAAATGTGTCATTCGAATATGATATTATCATTCGAAAAAATTTTAACCTGCATTTTCCAACGTGTTTTAAGAGGAAACCATCCCTCATTTATATACTTCTGAACCGGATCATATAAATTATATGCAATTGCCATCATAAAGGGAGGACCATATTTGCATTGACTCAGTGAAGAGCAGATCTACCGTCACAAAGGGAGACGCATACCCACCTTTATAAACGGAGGAGCATACTTGATGATTACACTGGAGTTGTTGTCCTGCTTGTCCTTGACCCTGACGACGTCATTGAGATTGCCATCCCCTACAGCCACGACCTCCACGTTATCAAGCTCAAGGGTAAACTTTGTGGGGGGAAAAGGATATTTTACTAATCTCCGTGAATTTAAAGTTACATTTAACTAGAACTTTGTTTATATATATTTGCCATAGTGGACAGTTGCCAAATGAATTGCTGTATTTTCATTGCTCTTGTTTAAAATCAATTTCGATTGAACAAAACTTACGCAGTTACCACATACAGATAAGATATCGGTGATGGTTGACATTCTCGAGCAAATTGAAACAAATAAACGTAGAAACGTATCCCTTTTCCAGATAAAAAGTCTATAGCATTTGAAAATAACAAAACAAGTACTATATATATATCGTTCTTTCGATTTCTTTTCATGACGAAGTTCAGGGAAAGTAAGTAGGCGTTACTGTTTGAATTTCGAGTATGTAACGGAGCAATAGACGATTCGTGTGGAACTCTCCTGTGTCTCTGATGGACACATACTCGCAATCCAAGGGGTACGCTCACGATACACTTTACATGTCCTTTGAAGATTACACAAGCGCTACACCCAACTACAGCCTATCAATGTGTCCAGCTTTGTAGACAAGATATTTTTGTATCGACAGTGGTTCTCATTTGATGTCGAGAATGTATCGATAAAGTAGAAGGAGTCCAACAATGTTTGAGCATCTTTCGTTTGTGCAGGGTAATTATATAAACCGCCTCATCATATTCGGCGATGCTTCTTATCAAATCAATTATTCAATTATAACTATAAGGTTTCTTTTTTTCTGCACATGCGCCCACTAAGTCCAGAGTTAATAATCGCTCCAATCTTGGAGATTCGTCTCTCATAGGAAGAAGAAATCGTATTTGGTATGTAATTTCATTTTTTATGTTTCCTTTGGAATTTTCCTGATATCAGAGACATTATACGTCTCTGCTGATATAAACACATATATATATGATTAATTTATGAATTGGACTCCAAAGCTACTCTACATTGTTCATAGCACCAAAACACTGCAATTTTCCAAATTTTCCTTTGATGCCGATGGGATTTTTTTAATGATAATTTCTCATCTTTTATGTAATATGAATAAACTAGGATTTAAGTCTATAATTTCAGGCATTCCTCCGTCCCTCCGTCCCTCCGTCCGTCCGTCCATCCCCCGAGCTTTCCAGAAATCCTAACTTCGCCCCTACTCTCTGTATACAATGTATACCTACAGGTAGAACAGGAGTGAGTAACGTCACCTACTTATCTACTACAGACAGTCATTGACACTAAAACAAACAAACCCACCTGTTTTCTAGATATAAGGCACACAATTTTACACCATATCTTATCAGGAAAATATATTTCTCGATGTTATATTTGCCAGTTGTTTGTGTTTTTATTTTCATTCTGTTTCATATTATCCCACATTTTATGAAGTCGCACAAGTGAAGTTTGTTACACATATATTGTCTCTTAATTGACCGAAGATGGTGCTTATGTGCTGTCCAATAAGACCGATTGTTAAGAGCAACAGCAATATCGTTATCGTGATCGAAGTTAACCATGCTTTGACAATACTCACAGCAAGGTGGTCACTGAGGTGGGCGTGGCTCTGTACAACCCTGAGGAACTGAGCCGTGTCCCCTACAATACTGCCCACACAGGCCATGTTGGAACGTCTGACGATGCTTTACGCCGACGTGTGTTCTCTTACGTGTTGATACTGACCCCAGAAGCAGGAACTAGTCGTTACTCTCTACGGTATAAGTTACATAACGTCGTTTCATTCGTGATCTTCGTAAACTAAACAAGAAACCGGAACATGTACTACGATCTGTATACACATGTATACACATGTATACACGTACACCTGCACACAGTTATTCCACTACGGCCATTGGGAACATTGATCCGAGTGGACACGTGACCCATTGACCACATGACCACATGACCACTTATATACATGTACCTATAATCTCGATCCTTGTTAGTTATAGTTTAACAAGCCCACCGGAAGTTAAATTACATATATATTACATTACGTGAGTACGTGACCAAGTAGCCAATCACGGACCGCATACAATGCTACAAATAATAAAATAATGACAATTACTAAAGATGTACCAGTATCGGACGTTAACAAGAATGTTTAATATAATAGACATGATGTAGACCACTAATCAAGTTAACCAAAATCACTGTGGATAAAAATAACGAATAGCACAAAATGGCGGGAAAGTCAAATTTCAAATAACCGTATTAATTGAATTGGACAATTCCAATTAATTTATGGACAATTCCAATTAATTTATAAAGTATATAATTTACATCAGCAGTATATCAAAATGTTATCACATGTGATATAAATAATTTACAATCACTAAGATTGTATTAAAGTACTCACAATTTAGAATTCTCAGCTCACTAATAAGCACTAAGTCTGCACAATTGCATAACACGTCCGATACGGCCATAAACTTGTACGGGAGTGACAATGCCCCCAAAAGCGCGGGTGCGCACTGACCCATGGTCAATCTTACACAAAAATAGATTGACCCATGAACCTTGACAAACAGGTTTGCACAGGTGTCTTTTGATATAAAGCAAAGTGTACATTGGTTCATTGGTTCATTGATTGTGACACCGGTTGTAAGCGTCAGTCGCTTCTTGAGGTGCTTCTTAATTCTGTCCACTTCACTTCCGCTTGCATAAGGAGGTATTGAAGAAGACTTGTTTCTCAATAACTAGTGAAAATTATTTACAGGTGCAGTGGGTGATAACAAGGGTAGTATAATAATTTCATATAAGATAAGGGTATTCAGTTATAAAAAAAGGACTGACAGGCCTGTATAGACCTGTATATAGATACACTGTATAGTAAAAGCACAGCACTTAATACTCTGCTTTTAATGAAGAATAAAGTTTAAACATAAATAACCAGCTTTACAGGTAAAAGATATTAGTGTCATTAGATAATGACACTGCTACATGTACATCATACTTCATGCAAACACATTTTACGTTTAACCCACTGATATCGGACTTGGTACGGTTTGAAATTCTCCATGCGGTTCCCTGTTGCGTGTATACTGTATTTATACCTGTTTCTTTTTATTCAAATCTAGCTGTTAACAGAAATATCTCAATCATGTTTATTGTTTATGCTGTTCTTAGAAGATTATTCTTGGGATAATTTCAGGGGAGTGGATTTTCGGATTTCTATACTACTGCAAACCAACTTAAGTATGCACCGAGTCTTTGTTTTCAGTACAAACTGTAAAAAAAAATCTTTTCTGAAAGGTGAGATCAGCCAAGAGTAGTTTATCAATTGTCGTAATAAAATCCAGGGGATGTAAATGTAGGAAATATAATTCTCTGGTGATTTGTCACAGGCAGGGGGACATGAATCCTTAATACAGATGAAATGAAAAATGACTTTAAGATGTTCCCCTAATCTACTAGTTTCAGTGTCTGTCTCTGGCTCCATGCTAGGACTGCCTCAAAATGAGAAAGGTCTAGTATAACTACGGTACGGCCAATCAGAGAGATCGAGGAGCTATGAGGAGCCGTGAGGAGCCGTGAGGGGCCGATGTAGGCCAATCAGCGAGAGTGAGGAGCTGTGAGGAGCCGTGAGGAGCCGTGAGGGGCCGATATGGGCCAATCAGAGGGAGTGAGGAGCCGTGAGGGGCCGATATAGGACAATCAGGGAGATTGAGGAGCTGTGAGGAGCCGTGAGGGGCCGATATACGCCAATCAGAGAGAGTGAGGAGCTGTGAGGGGCCGTGAGGGGCCGATATAGGCCAATCGGAGAGAGTGTGAGGAGCTGTGAGGAGCCGTGAGGGGCCGATACAGGCCAATCTAAGAGAGTGAGGAGCTGTGAGGAGCCGTGAGGAGCGGTGAGGGACCGATATAGGCCAATCGGAGAGAGAGTGAGGAGCTGTGAGGAGCCGTGAGGGGCCGGTATAGGCCAATCAGAGAGATTGAGGAGCTGTGAGGAGCCGTTAGGGGCCGATATAGGCCAGTCAGAGAGTGAGGAGCTGGGAGGGGCCGATATAGGCCAATCAGAGAGCGTGAGGAGCCGTGAGGGGCCGATGTAGGCCAATCAGAGAGAGTGAGGAGCCGTGAGGAGCGGTGAGGGGCCGATATAGGCCAATCGGAGAGAGAGTGAGGAGCTGTGAGGAGCCGTGAGGGGCCGATATAGGCCAGTCAGAGAGTGAGGAGCTGTGAGGGGCCGATATAGGCCAATCAGAGAGAGTGAGGAGCCGTGAGGAGCCGTGAGGGGCCGATATAGGCCAATTAAAGAGGGTGAGGAGCGCATGAGGAGCCGATGTCAGCCAATGAGAATGCAGTTTGTGTGCATATAAGAGAGAATAACATTATTTTGGGACTTACTCCACGGTGATTTATACCAGGGAAATTAAAGACATTGGATTTAACTTGTACACTATTATTATGAGAATTACACATTATTTTGATGGAGACATATTTGTGGAGTAATGTGAGATAGTGTTTTATTCCCAGTGGACATCGTGTGAAACTACCTGATATCATGGATGTGTAAATAAAATAGTGTGAACTTGGTGGACTTTGTTTGAGTTATCACTGCCGTAGTCGACTTCCATCCCGGACTTATAGACATAGCGCTCCGCCCCGCGACGGTTGTCGCAGGGATCCGGGAGGAAACGCTATATATATTTAGTTATCACTGGCTTTCCCAAAAGATCAAACTGACCACACTACACGTTAGATTTAGGTCATGTAATGATAAACTACGTAAACAGTTGTTAGGAGATCGATGTTTTCAGTACCAACAGGTAGCATCTTACTTGGCCAGTTTGGACACCATGCACAGTTAAACATGATCAAAGGGTTACAAAACAAATAAAAGGTTTCAAAGATTTCACTTATCAAAATATATAAAAGAACGAACAAAGCTTAGGTGCCATGATTGATATATTGAAAACAACACAATAGATTTACGACAAGGAGGCAAGTGGAATCATGAAACTATACTGATGAAACGGTATGCGCTGCCCTGTTCTATCGACAGGAGAAAACAGTCCTTAACACTCAAAGTAGTAACGATTTACAACATTCTTCCTGTGTCTCTGGTGACGTGCCCTTTTTCAAAGTAAACTCAATCAAAACAGACAAGACAAACACTGGGAAAATCCTTAATATGTTATCTACAAGGGTTGGGAACAAGTCAATTGGTCTGAGAAAGAACCTGTACGTTCTGTATTAGAATAAAATGTATATGATTGAATATGTTAATTGCACTTCTGAGCCAAACTTTTAGTACGTATATGTAAATGTGTGAACAGCTTAACAACCGTCCCAGAAATCCAAGAGTTCCGGACTTGAAACACACAATACCCTAATCCTCTGCACTCCCGGGATAGGTCATGACAACATCGAAGGGTCGCGGTAAGCTGTTTTAATTGGTTAAGGCATACAAACCCGACTAATCTTTACGCTGTCACATGTACCTTAAAGATAACAGAAAAGCCACACACCCAACCTCAAAGCCTGTCTTTTTAGCGTTACGCTGTCGCGCGATTCCTTTGCCGCATGAAGGGCTTTCGAGTTTTATGATTTATTCCGTGGTTGCGGGGAAGATAGTTCAACGAAAACGGAAACCCTTGACTGTTGTATATTAACATTTGTTCATATGCACCCACTTGATAGCCATTTGCCACAGCTCCAGGTCTGAATTATTGCTCGAACCCTAACGAGTCATTCAACAAATTATCTTGAGACCTTCATTGGTGATATAAATTGCTTCAATCTTTATTGCCTTTCAACAAAGCAAGCTAATGACAACAATCCTACTAGTTTTCATATCACCGAGTCTTTGACACATCATTCTTGTGACCTTTAATGTGGACCAAGGTCACTTACTTATAAAACAGTCTTTACAGTATAAAACCCTTCACCTCAGCAAGTTCCATGTTATCGCTCATAAGAAGAATTTGATTGATGTTTAAAAATTTGAGTGATTGCCAAAAGTCATCCGTTTGACTCTGTGTTTTGGTAACTTTTTCAATTGTGCAAACTGACGTTTTTGAACCAAAATGGAAAATGCAAATCCGGAAACGGAAACCTGGTGGGAGAGCAACCAAAGACAACTGTTATTCTAATGCAATACGATGTATTTTCTATGTATGTTAAAGTTACTAACTTAGATAATACCGTAACCCTCATCCAATTTATTGGTTGCCGGTATGGTTACAAGGAAAGTTCCAAGTTTTTATGTAATTTCGATAACGTAACTTGCATAATGTACGTGACATATTTACAGATATTAGTTTTTGCCACATTTATCAGAATATCTCTATATTTTTCTAATTATTATTGATCCTGCATTTATCCCCAAATATTATCCAAGACGGAATCACAGTACAAGTGAACCAATATACAAGCTGCGTACAAAATCATTATATCTGAAAAATGAGGTCTTTAACTACTGAATCTTAATCAAGCTAATTGGCCTCATGTAGTTTCTTCTCCTATCGGCATTCTTTAAGAAACATCCTTGTTGCAGATAACACCGGCTCTGCCACTCCCCGAGATCTTTAAAGTATCTTTTGACCAAGGAAAAGTGCCAACGGACTTAAAATCTGCCAACATCACACCTCTCTTCAAGGAGGAAGAAGTTAGTGAACAAGTTAAATATGGACCCATCTCGTTAACATCCATCTGCAGCAAAATTCTTGAACACGAGACTCAGTCACATCATCAAACATGTTAACCACCTGAGACAATCAACATGCATGGTTAGAGGGAACGAGGTCCCTAGCCACACAACTTTTACTGACCATCAATGGCCTAGCCAGGTGGTATAGATGTAGATGAACAAGTCGATAGTATCCCATTGGATTTATCCATGTCCCACAATAGACTCCTCTTGAAATTAAAGCACTATGGCATTCGTCATAACCTACCCGCCTAGATCTTGAGCCTGTTATTAGACCGAACTCAGGGTGTTGTTATTGACGGCCAGTCATCAGCTTCCAGTACTGTTCGATTTGGAGCTTTCTGGGCGCAGTGCTGGACCAGTTATTTTTCATCAATGGCCTCCTATCAGACTGTTTGCATACTAATGCCTCTTGCATTGATAAATAACATCATTCATAAGAGGACCAATTTATATAACAACAGGACTTAAATCAACTGCACTGCTGGGAGATAATCTTAAAGTGGACTAACATAAAGCTATAGGTTAAATCTCATTACCTATGACCCATAGTAACAAAAACAACCTGTAAAACCTTTATATACATTTGACCCTGTGACCTTTGAAGTGCAATATGCTCATAAGTTGAACAAACTTGAGAGCCCTTCATGCTACTGGCCAAATATAATACCATGGGCTTTTTGTTTGACAATGACATTGAAGAAAACAGGTCAAGGTTACTGGTCAACTATCCCCCCCCCCCCCTGCCTGATGATTATTGAGAAGATGTTTAGATAAACAAGAGGCCCAACAGGCCTAAACGCTCACATGAATTACAACTACAACTGT